GGGACGAGCCTTGATCTAAAGGTCGGGGAATTTCAGACTGTACTTCAAGTGATAGCTTCTGTTCTGATCCCTGCAGCCACCCGAATGCTGGTTCTGAAGCGGCCCTTAGGGGAGGATCAAATCGGATTATAGCACCATCAAATGCAGACACCGTTGTCTGATTATCTGCTTTCGGGAGAACCATCCCATCTGTCAAAGGCCCCGACAGTAATCCCTTCTCTGAGCCAGGGCTACCATATATTACCTTTATACGCTCGGCTAGCGCATCCTTTGCAGCTGCGGTATCAGCACCAAATTTTAACCCATCCTTCTTCTTGGATGTGTCGCCCATGAAGGGATAGACCTTGATTGACTTGACAGCAGATTTTTGCAATGGTGGAGGGGCTGCTTCTACACGGACGATGCCACCTACCATGCCCTCAGCACCAAGAGCGGAACACAACAGCGTAGACATAGCCAAGTGCTCGCTGTGCGGAGCATCTACCCAAGGAAGCAATTTGGCAACAAGCTTTGTGGTGGGAGCACCGGCCTCGTTTGACTTTTGTTCTGCTTGATTCAATTGTTGTTGAGGGTCAAGCGGAGGTTTCAGGCCGGAAGGTTGAACGACGGTGATGCAAGCCCAGTTGGCTCCACGAAGTTCGTTTGACGCAAGTAGATCAGGCTCTACCCAAACACGGAAGCCCTTGTTGGTATCATCTTCTGACTCTCCATCGAAGTACTGCTCAGAGCACTGTCGATCAATACCTCTGAAATAGAGACATCCTCTGCTTGTCGAGTCTGATTTACTCTTTGTCCGCGCGGTGCTTCCGCTACTCCTCCCCCCGACGCTTCTCCGGCTGCTCCCAGTAACACTCCTACTGTCCCCTCGGGTCCCTCTTGTATTCTTGGGACGCACTTTCGGAGCAACAATAACCTCCGCGTCGGGTGCTATTTTGGCGAATGGGGAGGTGTCCGATGGCGCGGGCGTAAGAGACGTAATGACAATATTGGCGGTGGATGTCGGGGAAAGATGCAGCGCAAGAGGATGCATATGGTCTGGCTGAGCCGCGCTGTATGTTGGATTTGGAAGAGCCCGAATTTGAGACAGAAGGTTAAGCTCCAGAAAAGTTGCGTGCAACTCAATGACTGTGGTCAATCAGTAAATGCAACCTCAGTATTGTCGAAGGTGAACACCATACTTTCCCAGTCCTCAGGAGTTAGAGGTTCTATATTGATGGTATGCGCTACCGGAGGGTCCAAGTGAATGAATATTCCGACCTAGCATCGTATTAGAATACCGAGACATATAGGGTAGGAGTTAATGTGCGTAGCGTACTCTTTGTCCTTCGGTAAGGCCCAAGACTCTCCCAAATGTAGTATCCAATTCAACAGTAGAAATGTCTTGTTCTCTAGAAGAGGGGCCGCTATTGATGCCATCCTTTCCAACAACTGGCGCAAGCTTTCGCTTGCTTGGCATGCCTGTCCACCCCAGATAACATGATCGCTGTGTCGAATTGCCGCTGGCCTTTCCGGATGTAGGTCGGTATTGCAGCTCGACAATCACATTTTGTGCAGCCTGGCAAAGAATTAGGTTTTCCGAAGTCAATTGACATCCACAATAGATGAGGAGCTAGCTTACACTGTTGGCATTGACTAGCAGTGCAACCAGCGACGGGGGTAAGTTCACTAGACAGTTCTTTAAAGGTACGAGGGCAACTTCGGCCGTGGTGGAGGGTTTTTTGGGCGCCATTCTCGGGCGCTGACAGGGTATGCGTCTTCTGTTTTAAAGTAGCAGAGAGCTCTTGGAGAAGAGAGAAGACCGCAGCTCATTATGTCCCCGGACATCGACTCCGCAATCAAGCGCCCGCCATGCGCCGTTCGCCGAGCCGGCCGGCCCATAGGTTTCGGACCGAGGCTTATTCCGCTCCGATACACGTGCATATATCACTAGTATTTTTTGAGACTAGTGTAATATAAGGAATGGAAACGCGTCGGTTTCGTGTCGCGACGTGTTTTTGCGCCTCAGGTTGCTGGGTCTAAGGTTGCTGGGGTTCCGAATTTGATCCACTACCAACTTCTCCGAGAGAACACCAAAAGTACGCCCGCCGCTTCCTTCTGCCCCCCAGATCGATGCGAGTTTAGTACTGACGCCATTCGCATCACTTGCCAGTTAATTTGTCGACTAAACTGGCTCATCCCATTGTCGCATCATGGCTTTGCTTCAGTACCACGCTCCTGTTGACTATGCGGCGCAATTGGACGCCTTCAAGGATTTCCTCACGCACTTCAAAACATTCGAATCAGCTTCTGCATCCGCTGCGACTGAAGCTATCGAAGACTTACACATTGATGGAGACCGCACCAGCGATGAATATGACTTTATGGATGATGCAGAAGATGAGAATGGAGCTCAAAGAGAAGGATCAAGCCGCAGGCGCCGCGAACCAAAATTGAAATATATGCAGATGCTCCAGGATGTGGCAGACCGCGAGCGCACAAATATTCTCATCGAACTTGATGATCTAGCTACCGTGAGTACTCGACTATTTGTTCTTCGACACAGTGGCTGACATGATCGCAGTTCGAGAAATCACTCCCGGAGGACGTAGAACTTAAGCTTGTTGAATCCGTGCAGAAGAACACCCAGCGCTACGTTGATGTTCTCTCACAGGCTGCCGATGCTGTCATGCCCAAGGAAACCAAGGAGATCACGTATGTGGTATAATCGAATGTTTGGGCGAGCCCCAAGGCTGATCGAATACAGATTCAAGGATGATGTACTGGATGTTATCATGTCACAGCGTGAAAAACGGAACGTGGCCATGACAATGGCCATGGAAGCCGACACGGACACAGCAGCAACGCCCTCGATCTTCCCCCCTGAATTAACCCGTCGATACACCCTGAACTTCAAGCCAATTACTCCCTCCGGATCAAGCAGTGAACGTGAATCCAAAGCCCTTGCCGTTCGAAATATACGAGCGGAGCATCTCGGTGGCTTGATCACTGTCCGCGGCATAACCACTCGTGTCTCGGATGTCAAGCCAGCCGTTCAAATCAATGCCTACACTTGTGATCGCTGTGGGTCTGAGGTCTTCCAACCAATCACTACGAAATCATACCTTCCTATGACAGAGTGCATGTCAGAAGAGTGTAGACAGAACAACTCCAAGGGACAGCTGTTCTTGTCTACTCGTGCTTCGAAGTTTGTTCCTTTCCAAGAGGTGAAGATTCAGGAGATGGCAGATCAGGTCCCCGTCGGTCATATTCCCCGCACAATGACTGTTCACTGCCATGGCAGCCTGACACGACAATTGAACCCTGGTGATGTGGTTGATATTGCAGGAATTTTCCTGCCCACCCCATACACGGGATTTAGAGCTATCCGTGCTGGATTGCTGACCGACACCTACATGGAGGCTCAGCATATTACGCAACATAAGAAGTCCTACAACGAACTTGCGATGGACAGCCGGACTCTCCGCAAGATCGAACAACACCAGAAGTCTGGAAACATGTATGAGTACCTGGCACGCTCGATTGCCCCTGAGATCTACGGCCACCTTGACGTGAAGAAGGCCTTGCTTCTTTTGCTCATTGGAGGTGTCACGAAAGAGATGGGCGACGGAATGCACATTCGTGGTGATATCAACATTTGCTTGATGGGTGATCCTGGTGTTGCCAAGTCTCAGTTGCTGAAATATATTGCTAAGGTCGCTCCTCGAGGTGTGTACACCACTGGCCGAGGAAGCAGTGGCGTTGGTCTCACGGCCGCCGTGATGAGAGATCCTGTGACGGATGAGATGGTGCTGGAGGGAGGTGCATTGGTCCTGGCGGACAATGGCATTTGTTGCATTGATGAGTTTGATAAGATGGATGACTCTGACAGAACTGCTATCCACGAAGTAATGGAGCAACAGACGATTTCGATCTCGAAGGCAGGAATCACAACCACTCTCAATGCTCGCACATCTATCTTGGCAGCTGCCAACCCGCTGTACGGACGGTATAACCCACGTGTTTCTCCAGTCGAAAATATCAACCTTCCTGCCGCCTTGCTTTCACGTTTTGATGTCATGTTTCTCATTCTCGACACTCCTTCACGCGACTCCGATGAAGAACTGGCACACCACGTCACTTATGTCCATATGCATAACAAGCACCCCGAAAATGAAGATGCGGGAGTCATGTTTACGCCTAGTGAGGTTCGCCAGTACATTGCGAAGGCACGTACCTACCGGCCTGTCGTTCCTGCCTCCGTCTCGGACTACATGGTTGGTGCGTATGTAAGGATGAGGAAGCAACAGAAGGTCGATGAGAGCGAGAAGAAGCAGTTCGCTCATGTCACCCCACGTACTTTACTGGGCGTTGTTCGTCTTTCACAGGCCCTCGCTCGTCTTCGCTTTAGCGAGGAGGTTGTTCCGGAGGACGTGGATGAGGCACTGCGTCTCGTTGAGGTCAGTAAGGCGTCTCTGTCTAATGATGGCCAAGGAACTGCGGACCAGACTCCCAGTAGCAAGATTTACCACCTCATTCGCTCCATGTGGGAGAGCGGTGCGGCAGCCGTGGGTGAAGACGGCGAGCTCAATATGCGGAGGATCAGAGAACGTGTGCTTGCTAAGGGCTTCACTGAAGATCAACTGAAGGTGACCATCGACGAGTACGACCAGCTAGGAGTAAGTGTTTCCAACAAAACCCCTTCTTGTTGGTTTCGACAGTTGCTAACATGGTGCTTCTCCCAGATTTGGCAAATTAATGGCAACGGCACAAGGCTGATGTTTGTGGGTGGTGATGCGGATATGGATATGTAAAGAAGGGTATTCCACCATAGTTCTCATTGAAAAAGAATATCTAATGTTTACCTGCCATGAGTTAATCGGGGCTAATCGCGTCTTATCGTTTTTGTCTATTGTCCCGAATTGATGATATTTCCAGAGGCTAGATTTGGCACAGGTGTTATGGTGCATAGTGTTTCTCAATGGAGTCCAGGACCAATATATACCTCAATATGATTTCCAATTGAACCAGTGGAAAACAGAATCAAAGTCTCAATTAGAGCTCAGGTTAAGGAACGACAAACTGAAGCCATAGCGCTAAGGTCAACAAAGGAATGTAGATCAACTCTGACAACAGCCATCCAATATCGAATTACTAGGTACGGCTTCACCACCCTCAACCACCGCAATATCTACCTGCATAGTCACCAATTCCCACCCACCATCAAGAATCTCTTACACCTCGCACCTATTCTGAATTGGCACCTCAGCACACAGATTCGGGCCCGCTCCGAACGGATTATCGCAGAGCGTATTACACGAAGTTGACTCGGGAGTGAAGACCAGGAACTGGTAATTGGGTATGTTCAACCGGAACTGTTTGGTGATATCATTGTTGTTCGTCGACGCCTTGTAACCCGCGCGACAAGCACAATGGAAGCGGGTGCCCGTGTTGATGCACGAGGTCGTGATGTCGCAGTTGTTTTGGCCCGACAGAGGGTTACAGGTGCCGCAGACGGGCCTGGTGGGATTGGCCAGGACAACGGAGGAGGTGGCCAGCAGGAGGCTGGTGAGAATAGAGAGAGTTTGCATATCGGTGGTTAGGTATGCGTGATCAAAGCTAGAATTGAGGAGAGTATATAGAGTGTAAGTTGAGAAGTGGGCTTCGGTATAAGCTTTCACTGAAGATTGGAAGCTTTTGCTTGCTTGTCTGATGCTCTATTTCGGCTTGAGTATGGTGGTTTCCATTGCTTCTTATATACCACGCGGCGGATGACTCGGTATGAAGAGATTGGAACCCGGCCGCAGCTAGTTAGGCTTCCAAGTACGACCTTGGGAAAGGATTGAAGACGCAGACACTATTTTTCAATACATGTCTCTCAACGTGTAGCCTTTTTGCATCTAGAGTTTGTCAGGTGAGCTGGGAGCCACAAACTGGCGTCTTCGGATACGAGCTCTGGAACATGCGACACAGGAATCAGTGGCATGGTGTCGAGCTAAACCATCGTGGCATTCGCTGAGGCGATATTGCGGGGGAGAGACCCTCGGATCTTGAGTCTAGACTTTGGAACTACCAAGCTTTGGCTCGGTATATTCTTGCCGGATACATCTTCCAATGTAGTTGTTTCTAAAAAAAAATATGGATGACGCAGGTGGCAGGGAAATTTTTGAGACGTCGCTCTTGAGTTGTCAGCACTCAAGAACCCTTTTACGTACTATTACTATCATTGCTTGTACCGTGGTTGGGTCGATATAAGAGGCTGTCATTTCCGCATGGGATGTTAGGTTCGCTAGACATGTTCGTTGCTGCCGTTCTCGTATACCAGCGAGGTGCCATCCTGGAACATGGCGAATGGTGGCGAGTTCATAGCGAGGAACCTGAGTCAATGACTCCTTCTTTTCTATGTACATGATAGATCGTGTCAATGGTTTGTCTCTCAATGCTGTGCTCACCTGACTGCCTCTTGTCTCCATTGGCCGTCGTTGATGAATGTACTATTTATAGTGGTTCTAGGCGAGAGGGTTCTTACGTGAAGACTGCAAAACCAAGGCAAGAAGCTAAATTACGATACTCTAAACTCTAAACTTGTGGTTTATAGAAGGCAACCGACATGAATGGCTAGCGTGAATCATCTATCGCGAGACATGAAGAAAATCTACAGATGCATCTTCGATTGTTCCGGCTCACCGATCAACTCCAGAAAACTCTCATGAACCTCATCAGTGAGGTCACTGGCCTGCATGCTCCTGCCCTTCGCCTCAAAAGCGCGGCGAGAGCACTCTCTTGTAATCCCGCTGCCTGCCCAGGCTGCAAGCAACAAGGTTGTGGCAGGGGACATTCTCTTGTCCGATGACTCAAGCTCCGCCTGAATGTCCTGCTTACTTTGCGCCTCCTTTTGGTTATCTTTTTCACCGGAATCCCAAAGTCCGTTATGATAAGCCGCTCGCCAGGCCAGCAGCGTGCCCAACGATCCAGTGAGCGTGTCTCCCTGGCCTCCACTGCGCTTCAATCCTCCGACGATATCGTTGACGATGCTCGTTACACCGTTTGAGATCACATCGTGCGGTCCCTTCTGGATTATCGTCACACCACCAAGAGCTTGCGACAACTTCTCACAGGCTTCGGTTTCTCGACTGGTCTTGTCACCGCCATCTGACTCGATCTGCGCCATGCTGGGAACCTCGATATTCAACGCCTTGGCCAACCGGCTGAACTCGTTAACGTTAGGCGTCAATATGCATTCCTTGTATCCTTTAACAAGATCCGGTTGCTCTGTGACAAGCAGCAGTCCGTCGGCATCTAAGACAAACGGTATTGAGCGGGACCGCGCCTCCTTCAAGACCTCTGTGACCACTTTCAGCGTAACCCCGTCACGGCCCAATCCCGGTCCCACTACTAGGGCATGGAGGCGAGATAGCATTGCCACGATGGGGCTAGCAAGCTTAAGCGCATCAATCGAACTGGGGTCCTTTACAGACTCGCTACTTGGTAGTAAAGGATGAACCATTAGGTTCGGGGAATAAGACTTGATAACCTGCATAGACTGGTGAGTCAAGGTATTCAACGCATAAGCCAACTGAAATGGCACAGCATAAGCTTACAGTAGCTGCAGATCGTTCACAAATAACATGACTCTGCTCTTTGTCAGGAACCATCGCATGAATGGTGAGATAGGTTCAGGCGGCCTACCATATCGCAGCCTACAAAGCTTAGTCAACGTAATCACCCTCATGGCCATTACTTCAGTCACATACCTAGTCGTGCCGAAGCCATGGAAGAGAAATATGGAGCTCCTGTGTAACTTGACCTGGGTCAATACGACTTGTACGTACTCGCGCTGGAGGAGTGGGCATACTCTAGTGATCCTCCAATAACGGCAACCCGTCCATGCTGGCCTGCGCTTACTATTAATACAGAGTTCTTATGCTATGGTACGATAACATGGATCGCCAATTGTGGACTAAGGAAGACTAACCTTTGTGGAATTTCTCCAGCATAGGCGGCACAATCTTGCGTACCTTACTGAAGAGAATCTTGGGCGAAGTGGTTATATGATGAACATCCATGATAGATTATATTACAGAAGCTTGCTATTCAATTGAAAAGAGTCAACACATGGAGCAACAGAGAGGATGTTGATCATAGAGGAGAGAAGTGTAAGAGAGCAAGAGGTGAGGTGCAAGAGAAGCAGCAAGCACTAAGAGGACTATGGCCTGTGATGTCACCGCCTACTAAAGTGGGGCTGATCCGGCGATAAGAATCCTGTCCATGGATTCCAGTTCTCATACAAATTCAAATAAGCATAACATGTAAGAATGACGCCTCTCTCCACCTAGTAAACAGGACGCAAAACACCGGCTAGGGTTATGGAAGGGAAAAACAAGATAACACTAAGAAGAGCAGCGTTGCCGCCCTATCTATCAACACCATGACGCTCGCTAATGCACAGAAAATATATCATAAACAGAAGTTGCCCTGAGAGAGAAGAGAAACTAGGAAATAAGGGGGAAAAGAAGAGATGTCATATGTAATGCACCCTCGGGTATTTCTCGCTGATGCTCCGTTCCAAGCCAAAAGAAAAATGTGCCGAAGAAGTTGAACAAAAATTACTGACAAAGAAAAAGCGAAATGAAGGGAAAAGACTGCGTTATAGCCTCAGCGTCGTCGGGATGCCAATGTAGAGAGCTTCCTCTGGCGCTCCAGCTTCGCTTGCTTGGCTGCAAGTTCCGCGCGCCATTCTTCTTCATCTTCTTTCCTTGCAACTGCCAATGCGGCTGCTTCTTCCTCCTCCACATCATTAAATCCGCCTTCCATATCCGATGATGCATCGGAGTAGTAATCGTCGTAGTCCTCTGCATAATCTCCCTCGTCTTCTTCGTCTGTTCCAAGATATTCGTCCATCCTAGATCGTTTGCTCGCTCGAGACTGTGCTTTCCGGTCGCTTGGATTGCTTCGAGCAGGTAAGCCAGCCGTACCTCTGTATTCCGGCGCCGCAGATGGTGTTGGCCTTGCAGTACCCTTGTACGACAGCGCTTCAGGCTCCCGCTTCCTAGCAGGCTTTCCATCACTGGCTTTGCTACCTGCTGCTGGACCAGACGTAGTGCCGAGTTTTTTTGCCGATCGTGCATCTTTTTCCTTCGCTTGTGCTTCCATGGCTCGTTTCTTGCGTTCCATCTTGCTAAGCTTCTCTTTAGGTACAGCCTGATGCTTGAACATGCCCGCTTGCGTTGGGGCTTTCTGCTGCAGTTCCTTTGCTTTTGCCATTATCTCCGCAAACGATCCCTTCGGGGGAGGCTTTGAAGACACCGGAGCTGCTTTTTGTGATGCCGATGACGTTGATATACTGCTCTTTACGGCGGGCCTCGCAGCTGATGTAGTGGTAGAACGGGGCTTAGGAGTTACAGCCGCAGCCATTGGTCTAGAAGGTGGTGGTCTGCTAGATACCTGGGTAAGAGGCTTCTGAGGACGTTGCAGCAGCTCCTCGGCCTTGCGTTTCGTACCTGCAGCATTACTTGTCCGCTCGGCGGCATCGCGAGGGGTCGTGATGGGCCTGCGAGCCTCTGACTTGGCAGTTGACGAGGAGACGGGCGCTGATTGTGTGGTAGAGACTGGCGGTAGGGGAGACGGTTTGCCCGTCTCGATAGATGAAAGAACGGAATCGAGGAACTGCCTCATAAATCAGCGAAACATCACCAGAATAACGGGATCAGGCACTCCTACACTCATCTTGGCGCCTAAGGCAGATATAAATGCGCAGGTCTCGGTAGCAGAGAAGAAGTGATGCGGGCAGATTCACCGTCGGTGGTTAGTGTGACGGATTAACTTCATGACTTCTTCTGTGGCAGAACCTGAAGTTTTAAAGCTCGAGACTTCGAGAATAGCCGTCTTCTCACCCTAGCTCAACCAAAGAAGCTGGGTTGAATCAAAGACGACGCCGAAGCCCTGAGATACACAGAGAATAGACTGACGATGTCGTTAGGACGAGAGCGCCGGCGGTTTAAATAAGTTACAGCGAGTCGCCATCCTGTCTTCTAGAAGCGACTGATCACGTGCCTGACCAAGTCATCCGGAAGGGTTCCCTTAGTAAGAATGCTACCCTCCAAGCATGCATGCGCCACAGGCTCGCTTAGAGGGAGCCTGGGCCACCAGCCACAACCACCAGCCGCAACGCACTTTTCTTGCGTTTTTGGCGATCCGAATCTTCGACTTTCCTCCATCCACATCGCTAACCCTCAGCGAACTCGACGTTTCAGTCTCCGCCCAACTTGCGGTTAAATCGATTGATTCTCTTGTTCACATATTAAACCAATCTGTATGTTTTATAACCTACAGCATCGCGCTGCGCTCTCGATGATCTTGTTGTACCCGGCGAAAGTTCATTTTCTGACAAAGTGATTCTTGTACAGATTCAAAATGAAGCACCTTGCCGCTTACCTCCTCATTGCCCTGGCTGGCAACGCCACCCCCTCCGCTGAGGACATCAAGAGCGTTCTCTCTTCCGTCGGCATCGACGCCGATGAGGAGCGCCTCCAGAAGCTCATCTCCGAGCTCGAGGGCAAGGACCTCCAGCAGGTTCGTAATACGTTGGGTGATAGAGATCTACAGGGCGCTTACTGACCATCTACTCACTACAGCTGATCTCTGAGGGTGCCGAGAAGCTCGCTACCGTTCCCACCGGTGGTGCTGGTGGTGCTGCCCCCGCTGCTGGCGGTGCCGCTGCCGGCGGTGACGCCCCTGCCGCTGAGGAGAAGGAGGAGGAGAAGGAGGAGTCCGATGAGGACATGGGCTTCGGTCTCTTCGACTAAGCGTCTTCACTCGTGCGAGCATCGAAGAATATGTGATATCTCGTGGGGGACCAGAAATCTGGCAGTCATTCGCAGTATTGGGAGGGAAATGGCCCATTTCGGTCAAGTCTGTTTGTCTCAGGCTTCTCTGATGCAGTTACGAATTATGCATACGTGAGCTGAAAAGCTCCTTGATAGCCAATACAGATTATCTGACCTCCACGAATTATTCCATATCACGTAGATGCGCGTAAGCCGACTAGCTGTCTATCAGGTATCAATTATGGGGCGCGAAATTGTATTACGCGCATTAAATACATATGGGAAACCTAGCCACTTGTAAGCCCCAGTTAATCAGAGCGATAAAACATATGGTTAAACAGCCAATGATAACGGCCATAATCTCCAACGTCCATTTAAATTTCCCGATCGGGAAGTATAATGTAGGGCTAGCGGCAGATAACCCTATAGCCAGGAATCCACAACGGGTCTAGTTTCTAGGTTTACAACCCTAGCCGTCGCTTAGACGAATCTCAGCCCACCTCCCAACCGCAGCGTCGAGCACAAGAGTTGGCCCGACGAACGTTTATCAGCGACACGCCACGACAACCCACTGTCCCTTCGCTTTTCGAGTGCTGTTCGAAAAGCGACCTTGAGAGGAACACCCGCAAAAATGGCTGACACCGAATACGTGAGTGCATATCCGTCTGGCATGAGTAATCTTACTTGAAAGACTTTTATACTAACGTGTATTTGTATTAGAACGCTGAGGAGGCTGCCGGTACGTTGACGAGAGAACCCTTTCCCTTCCCTGCTACCCGATTGAGAAATGCAAACCGTTTTGTGGAATTCGTTTACGATGGGGCGTACGGATGTTTGGATATAAATGGATGAGCTTTGGAGCGAAGGGGGCGAAAATGAATCCGGCAAACGCGATGCAACGGGAAATCACCGAGGAATCCATCGAACAAGGCGCTGACTGGTTATCGGTTTACAGCTATCAAGGCCAAGAGAACCTTCCGCAAGTTTTCCTACCGCGGTATTGACCTCGACCAGTACGTGACAACTTGAAGAAACCCCGGAACCACCTACTCCCGACTCCGAATGAGCGATATGACCGATGGCATCTAAGATACGATTGTTTATCCTCGTGGGAGTCGGGTGTAACGGATGGAAATGTTTGCAAAGGCGCCGTTTCTGACATGGACGTATCACAGGCTCCTCGACCTCTCTTCCGAACAGCTCCGCGATGTCGTTCACGCCCGCGCTCGCCGTAGGTTCAACCGTGGCCTGAAGCGCAAGCCCATGGGCCTCATCAAGAAGCTCCGTAAGGCCAAGCAGGAGGCTAAGCCCAACGAGAAGCCCGACCTCGTTAAGACTCACCTCCGTGACATGATCATCGTCCCCGAGATGATCGGCTCCGTTGTCGGTATCTACTCCGGTAAGGAGTTCAACCAGATCGAAGTCAAGCCCGAGATGGTTGGCCACTACCTTGGAGAATTCTCCATCTCCTAGTACGTTCTGCACCCAGTTCTATATTCTTTTTCGTGAAGAATCATAGTCTAACAACCACACAGCAAGCCCGTCAAGCACGGTCGTCCCGGTATCGGTGCCACCCACTCTTCTCGTTTCATTCCCCTCAAGTAAAGAAGAAAAGCTTTCTGGAGTGTCGCGTGGAGGATTGGGCGTCCGGTTGTGTTGGGAGAAGAAATCAAAAGCGATGGATACCATTTGTGCCTATTTGGGTTCATCCAACTTGTATGTCAAGTGCGGGTCAGCTGTTTGCATCTCAATATAAAGGTCTTGTCGGCATGTGAACGAACCACGGATTCCTACTCCCATGACGAGGAGATCTTCAGTCCTTAGCCCTAAAGGGACGAGGCAAGACCACCTGTTCCCTTCCCTACTTATCTAGGGAACGGGGTCTAATTTAACGATTTCTTTTTCTTTCACATAGATTGTTATCACTCGTATCTCGTATGAATTTTTTTTCGTTAAGTCTTAGCCGCCGTAGCTCTGGTGTCTTGGTTGCATTTGGCATATATAGTCAACATTTTGACATATATCCATTCGATACAACTTCCACCCAGCACCCAATATCTGCTTTTAACGCAAGCTGCGCTTGGACCCCATACTTATGCCGGCACCTAAGTTACGAAGCTAATGCCGGGGCAAACTGGTCCCCAAGCTAAAGGCACAGAACCTCCCGCGAGAAAGCCGATCCACATTAACACTCCTTCTCAAGCACCATATCGACAATTAGCTCAACCTTCTCCCACTCCTTCCGTATATCATCTCCCCTGTCCTTCGGTTCCTTACCCCCTTCAAGCCTTTCATTCACATGATTAAATAATAACCTGACAATCCGCTT